GGGGGAGTACACTATCCCTAGGGCAGTTGTACTCCCCTCAGTGGGGGAGTACACTATCCCTAGGGCAGTTGTACTCCACCCCCCTCGAGGTAGGGGAGTACAACTACCCTAGGGACCGTGTACTCCCCCCTGGAGTACATGGTCCCTAGGGTCAATGTACTCCACCCCCTAGAGGTGGAGGAGTACAACTGCCCTAGGGATGGTGTACTCCCCCTGGAGTACATAATCCCTAGGGCCAATGTACTCCACCCCCCTTCAGGTGGGGGAGTACAACTGCCCTAGGGATGGTGTACTCCACCCTATAGGGGGAGTTCAACTGCCCTAGGGATTATGTACTCAGGGGGGTCCCTGGGCCCGGGAGTACTATGTCTCGTTGACACCTGTAATCATTAGGGTCCGCGACCCACCCGCCCCTCCCCCTCTCACCAACAATTAGCTTCACGGAAATAACGTCTTTTCCGTTCACACTGTACGGAAAATACTCCTGTAACTTTACTACGAACTCTTTCATTTTTTTTTGCATTTAACAGAGAAATGTCTAATGAAGTGCGCGAGCCAGCGGTCCCGTCCCCGTGGACAAATTCTTTTTTCCACGAATCGTGCGTCGCAAGGCACAATCGTGTTGTTTTGAGCACTACTGGCGATGTTGTTGATGCTGCGGCCAACACACACAGAAACCTTTCAATAAAGCCTCGCTACGCACACAGAAAAATGTGACTAAAGCCGCTGCGGTGACAGTTTAATCCGTCCGCGCACTGTGCAAGCGGGCCAAGGCGTCGGATCAGCGGAGGCGCCGCTCCGATCAGAACGGTAGCGCCGAGATAAGGTCTGGCGATACCGACCTGGTGCGGTGTCTATATACCTGTCCGCAGGGATCCGCACTCTGCGACCTTCGCCGCAGATGCTCTCAGCAACACTCTACACCCTAAAATTATCACTGGACCTCTTCTTTTCACAAAGAAGTGATTTGGAATTTTAAAATGCCCGCATTGAAAACTTTTGCCTCAGTTTACTTTTGTCAAGAAGGTCAAGCATGTGTAGAAGTTAAGTAGAAATGTGTCGTGGAGGATAAAAGCATTTTGATGCTGTGGAAAACGGCCTTTGTCCTTACAGACAGCCTTCCTCTACCTACTTGCACCGTTAAAAATATTTCATTGCCATTTATGTATGGTTTGAAACTATTTTTATTAAATTTTCAATTGGCATTATTCGACACCTGAGAAGAACAACCGCTTACCTCCGCGGACTGAAAACAAACCCGCTTACCTCTGCAACCCTCAAACAAAACCGCTCACCTCTGGGACACGCAAACAAAGCCGCTTAAATGACTTTTTTACACATTTTGAGATACGGGCATCAAAATGATCACTGAAAAATTCTCTTTCGAATGATACTCATGATTCAGAATGTGTAAAAAAGTCATTTAAGCGGCTTTGTTTGCGTGTCCCAGAGGTGAGCGGTTTTGTTTGAGGGTTGCAGAGGTAAGCGGGTATGTTTCCAGTCCGCGGAGGTAAGCGGTTGTTCTTCTCGGGTGTCGTATTGATTAAACTGTAATATCGAATCTTAAATTTCACTAGACAAATGTTTAAAGTCTATAAAATCAGTATTAAATTCAGGCTGTTGTCAAATTTCATATAAGGATTTAAAAAATTAATTTTCAAAACGATTTTTCAAAACCTTTTTTAATTCCCAAAGATTTTGAATAGTGTGGGGCTAAAACAAACCACACCCCGCTGAGCCATGGCCTGGCCCTGCCACACGGCGCCGCTCATCCGTACGAAACCTTCCTTGATATATTTGTAGTGGTTAGCAGAGCGTTAGCATGTGTGAAGCCATTCCATTAGTGATAACCACGTTACCCGACCCTTTCCAATGATAGTTCCCCCACCCCACCTCGCGGCGCCCAGCCCCGGACCACCACCTGCACTGCGCTGCGACACACGAGATGAAAAAAAGGGGAGAAATAGAAAGGGGGTTAAAGAGAGAAAGGGGTGAAAGAGGAAAATCCTGCCGGAGCCAAAACACAAATAACTAAAAAAAATAATCGAAAAACAGTAAATGTTTAAAGGAAAGAAGATGCAAGGATAGGAAAAAGAGGTACAACAAAGACGGCGCGAAATAAAGTGGATAAACAGGGGAGGTAAATGTGGGGATGGCGGGGCATACACAGGACATTAGAGGCTCCGTGGCTCCGCAGCGAGCACCCCACAACGACATGACCTCGGCTGAGGGAGAGAGAGAAGGTAGGGGGGGAGGGGGGTAGCAGCAGTGAATGCGAGAGCGAGAGAGCGAGGGATACAGTGCAACGCAGTGCAGAGCCGCACGGGCATCAACGATCTAATCTACACTAATGGACATTTTCAGTGGAGACTAGGGGAGGAAAAGGAGGGGGGGGAGGGTCGTGGCTCCTGGTAAACCTGTGCAGCCGAGGCAAATACAGAGCATCACACACCTAGGCGCACAGAGTGAGGAGGGAGTGGTAAAAGCGGGTAAAAAAGTGACATCGGGCATCGGGAAAAGGGAGGGCTTTCACTTCCAACGCGACAGTAACGGCCTACTGGGTTTCATCGATTTTCCTTATTAAAAGACAGTGCAAAGCGAAGACGATTCCTCGCCCGCAGGTATATATACTTTACATAATATGGAAAGACACGTATGGTTTGTCCATACACCATAAGCCCAAATTTACACCTTTACTCCCAAGTCAAGTTTACATAAATGAGTATTCTCAAATCAACAAGTGTGCGACATCCTCACAC